CCCCTGTAAGAGGCAACCCTTGGGATTTCAGTGTTAGGGTGCACACACATCCTTGGAGTAAGGGCCATTAAAGCTGGTACAGGCTTGGGATGTTCAGATGTTAGAGCATCAGGAAGACGTCATGCTTGGTCGGTCCTTCTTCTCCACGTTTGCAACAAATGCATCAAAACTGATCTGGGGAAATCCTCTCTTGACCCCAGATTTAATTGGAGGACTAGGCAAGCCACTCTTCTGAATCCACTTGATTGTTGCAGGAATAAAATTAGGGGAATTTCCATTCACAACATTTTGGCTTGCAATGTCTCAGATTTGTCCTCAGGATTCCCAGGTAGAAAGTAGTAAACTAATACACATGTCTGCATCAGATTTCTCTCCAAAATTTTTATCAAATTCTCCTTCTAAAAGGACGAATAGAAAAACTAAGAATTGAAACATCTGTTTCAAGATTGCATTGTATGTTTGAAATTAATTATTACATGGCTGCGGGCACCGATTTTGCTTGTGGGACTGATTTGCACATATTTTTCACCATAAAGGGCCTTACGCAAAAAAACTCTGGTGAGCCAAAAGGATTTGCTATGTGATGTGATTGTCCTTATAGCCAGGATAACTAAGAAGCTTTCTTGGATGAGAAGTAAAACATCTTTAAGGAATAACAAAGAACGTCCAGTTGCCTCTTGGAAAAGCACCTTTGGGACAAACTGAGAATCTCCACAGACATTCCAAAGATCTTGCTGCAGAATTCAGACATATTTCTTAAATCTTCATCTTTAATCAATAGAAATAACGTTCTGTGTTTCAAAATAAAGACTAATGTTCCAAGAAAAGCAGAGGGTTTTTTAAAAAGAAAAATACAAGATTCCTTGCTTGGAAGAATGAACTGTGTGGTGTATCTAATGTAAAGACTCAGCACCAGGGGTGGGATACAACAGGGTTAACTACTGGTTCGGGATTTACGAGCTTCCCTGCACACTGTGAGTGGGGCACCTGTAAATCGTCATCAGCACACTGAGTGCCAAGAAGCAGCCTTTGAAACAGCCCCCTTTTCCTGCTTTTTAAACTGCAGCTGTATCTCGTTCAGCAGCTGAAGTTGAAAAATCAGGAAATAAAGGTCAGGTAAGAGCCCGGGAGGGCGGGTGGGCAAAAACATCAGCAGACATAGAACCGGTTCTATGTCTGCTGCTCTTCAGAGCTACCAGTTCTACAGAGGTGGACAGAACCGGTAGAAACCCACCCCTGCTCAGCACAGACCTCTCCCTTCTGTTTCCATTAAACTGCAGAAGGCAACATCTAAAAAAACCCAATTTGGCTGGCCTTCCTGAAGAGATTTCTGATGTGGTCCCCAAAGATAGCCAGCTGCAGTGGGTGGGAAAAAGCAAACCACAGCAGCAGCTGTTTGGCTGAGACCTCATCCGTCATGGGAGATGGAAGAATGAAACAACATCTTCATTTCATGTATTAGCTGAACATAACATGATGATTTTACTTTCTTAAATCTCATAGCCAAGAGATAGGGTGTTTTCTGTTAAAAGTCATAAAAGTAAAAGCAGGGAGGGACAGGAACAGTTAAATTAAAGTAGAAAATATGGTGTCCCTCATTGCTAATAATTATTATTTGACAAAAACATGTCTTGGACTAAATGTGCTTCCACTTGTTTCAGGAACCCTGGACTGGGAGAACATTTCTGTGGTCTTTGCTCATTAGGCCAAATCCGATTCCCCTATATCACCACCAGTCAAGTCAAGTCAAGTCAAGAACTATCACAAATGTTATCCAATCCATGCTGGAATGCGTATTCACCACAGTGTGCATGAAATTGACTAAAGCCATCAATAGGGTTAGAGGGTACTAGACAACCTATGTCCCATTGGATCACTTTTTCAGAGATATTTCTTTATACAAACAAAGAAACAATAACCACGGGTGGGCAAAAAGGCACTGGGAGCAGGAGCAAGTTCTGATTTCTTACCAGCTTCTCCGGTTTCTTTGTGGGAAACTTGCAGGGAGCCCTGCACTAAATTGCCTGAATTGAAGCATGGCTGTGGGACTGAAGGACACTTCATTTTTTTTCTTCTTGACCAAAGCCCTCTCTCCACCATTTTCTTTTGTTTGTTATATCAATGGTAGAAATAATTTCAAAAGAGGATTCCTCCCCGAGCTCCACAACCCCCACTGTTTTTAACCCAACTAAAGGAGTTTCAAACACAATTCTACATCTTGTACACTGGCAACTTTGCTCACGTGACACCATAATCATCAGGCCCCTATAGTGCTATAAATAACCAGCCTGCATGCAGTCATAGTCTACAGACTCTGATTGTTTTAATTGGGCTACTTCATAAATAATGATCAATAAAGCAATAAATGTACGTTTATTAGGGCTGCCAGATGTGGGGTGTAGGAATTTGAGGGACCACCAGATGGCAGCAAAAAAAGTCTAATAAGGTAGATTTCTTCCATCGATCCATCATCTCTCTCCCTCCTCCGCCCACCTCTTTCTCTCTCTTTCTCTCTCTTTTACCACCCATCTGGTGACTTTGAGCAGCTTGCAATGTTAAAAATAAAACAAAACAACAATATTCATTCAATAAAATATTGTTAAAAAGCAAAATACGATGCTCTTTGCTGCCACCTACTGCTCCTCTCTACATTTTGCAGCCGAGATCTGGGAACTCTTAAGCTTTAGGACACAACTTAGTTCTCTCTTCGTGGTTAAAGCTGAACAAGGTTCAAGTTTTTAATAACCAGGACTTGTAAACTGACCTTACTTTATGGGTAGTTGAAGAAAATGCCAATGTGGTATAGCAATTAAGATACTGGACAGGAGTGAGCCATGTTCTACTCCAGCCATAGACAGTCACTGGATGAGTCTGGCCCTTGCAGTGCTACTTTGCCATGAAGTTATTGTTAGGAAAAATAAAAATACCACTGAAAGTGCTTTGTTATAAATATAATGAATATTTTTACATGCCCACAGAAGCCTGGGATGAGTTTACCATTCCACAAATTCTACAGAGCTGCAATAAATTTGCTTTGGAGCATTTCCTTCTTCCTGAGTTTGAAATTTAGCAGTAACCTTGGGATGGGGTACTTAGGGTACTCTCTCTCTCTCTCCACCCCCACTCTCTCTCACCCCCCCCCCCCCTAATGTCTGGGAGTGGGAGACAGAAAAAAACTGAACTTCTGGCAGAGAAGCATTAGGGTTTGCTTTGAAATGACACCTGAAGGAAAACACTTCTAAAGACCCATATCTCATAACACAGATATTTCAAATTTTGAACAGAATGAAAGAAGAGGAAAGCACAAGAGGTCTGGTTACACAAATGAGATTGTACTACCCTCTAATGGACATAGTCTGCTACTACACACTAAGACTAAAAATAAAGTTTAATTACTATTTGAAAAATAAAAATTAGTCGTTGCAAGCCTGCATTCCTTGCAGAAAGTTTGTTTAAAAACAAGTTTTCTAGGAAGAAAAGAGGTTTGCAATGACAATTCCCTCCCTCCCCGCCCCCAGCAATAAACAGCTCACTACATGCAGGGGCCGACCACCTGGGAATCTATAGGAAGCCTACAACAGTCCTAAGGCTTTTGTTATAAACAAGGCAAGCCTCTACAGGAAGAGATTCCATTATGTTGGTAAATGTTGAAAGCTACATATATGCACAGATTTCATTCCCACATTTGAACAAAAGTCAATTTCAGCACTAAATATTATTTCACCTTAGCAGATTTTCACACTTATAAATGCTATGCTGCAAATGGGGCTTACCTCTGTGTAAAAATGCACAAAATTAGCCATGGTCTAATTATGAGCTGTGACAGGTCATGCCAAAGCCCTCCAAATAAAAAACAAAACAAAACGTAATTAACAATTATATCCTGAGACAGAAATTACCAACTGGGATTCTTGTCTATCAAAATCACTACTCTTTGGGAAGCAGAGAGAAGGATCTCAGAGCCATCTAATGAATACAAGGGCCATCCACTCTCCTGAATTGCCCTCTCAAAAGTGGACAATGGGGCTGAAATACGGGCTGAAAAAAACCTGCAGAGTTTTAACTGCAGCTTAAGCAACCAGCAAAATACAGGGGAAGTTGGCATCCTGTGCCCCCTGACGCCCTGTCTGATTCATCCAAGGTCCCAGACATCTCCCATTGTAGAAGAGTTGATAAAAGGCAGACAAGTGAGGCTTATGCACTGCTGCTTCCCCTTCTGATGCAAAAGGCTGAGTGTGCAATCAAGATCCGTTTCTTAAGGTACATCCCCTTTCCACACTCAAATGTCATCTAGCTGCATGACAGCTCCCATCATATCCATGTTGCACAACAATGGGTCCTGTTGGAGGAGGACTTTGAGAAAAAAAACAAGTCCTTTTATGTTTCTAGTCTATCAGTGATAGGGCTGCCAACTTAAGTAACAAAGTGTGTGTGTGTGAGAGGGGGGAGGGGGAGGGAGGGGGAGAGAGAGAGAGAGAGAGAGAATGAATGCAAGTAAAGAGCATCATGTGCTGACTAGGATCCTAAGATGCTGGATTTGGACTAGGCAGACCTGGGTTCAAGTTCCCATTCAGTCACAGAGCTCATTACAAACTAATCAGCCTCATCAAGGCTGTTTCTAAATAGATTTTCAGCTTCACAGCCCACTTCTGGGCTTGATTAAAATTGTCTGCCATTGTTCAGACATTTCTTCCAGACTGCAGCAAAACACCTTTTTATTTGTTTTGTTTAATTTCTAGAGGTGTCAGACCTATGGGGGAAAGAGAAGTGAAGAAACTCTGGCAGAGAAGGAATTCATGTGCCCCTTTCCCCTTAAATCCTCTCCAAGGCCAGCTTTGTTAAGAAATGATGATATCCAGTCAACCATGTCCAGCTGTCAGGAGTCTATGGGCCAGTTCTCTTCACATTGTCTGATCTCCTATGGTTCCCCCCCCCACACACACACCAGTTGTTTTAGGCTCTGACTGGTATCAGCTTTGATGGCATCCAGCCACTGTATTTTTTTGGCAGCCTCATTTCCTTTTCCTGCTGACCATTCCAAGCAAGATCGTCTTTTCCAGTGAATTTGATCGCATGACATGGCCAAAATAAGTAAGGCAGAATGTTGAGATTTTGCCTTCTAGCGATATGTCTGGTTTTATACGCTTCAGTGCTTGCTTGTCTGTCACCTTTTGCCGTCCAAGGAAGGCGCAGGAGCTTTCTCCAACACCACAACTTGAATGAGTTGATTTTCTTCCTGCTTACTTTTTTTTATGGTTCAACTTTCACAACTGAAGGTAGCTACGAGAGACAACAGTGCAAACGAATCTGTATTTAAGCAGCCGGGCTTTTCCATATTTGATTCATGCTCATCATTGCTCTATGACCCATTGCAACTTGATGCATTTTTTCTGGATTGCATTCACTGCTTTAATCAATCTGTGATTCTTGCTTGCATTCAATCTCTTTATTGTCAGTTGTTATTTTGATATCATTTCCCTTCCATGCAGCGGTCATAAGCTTGGGATTTTTTTTGTTCTTGTTTTTTGATGTTCAGAAACTGTCCAATTTTCTCATTTTCTTCTTTAAATCTTTTGATCAGATGTTCCAGGGCTTTGTTGGTTTTTGAGAGTTGTCTTGTCAGCATATCAGAGATATTTATCTTCCTTCCTCCAATCTTTACTCTGGTTTTTTTTTATTCTCCAAGTTCCAGCTTCCTCAAGACCACTTTGGCATACAGGTTCAATAAAAAAGATGAAACAATGCAACCTTGCTTCATTTCTTTATCTTGAACCACTCATTACTACCATATGGTGTGAGCCCTGAGGCTTCCTGATTTGTATACAGTGACTGCACCAACTTGACCAGATGTGTTGTCACCCCCATGTCTTCTAGGGGTATCCACAGTTTGTCATGACTGACATCACCAAAGACTTTCATAGAGGCAATAAAGCAGACAGAGATGTTATTTTGATATTCTTGAGATTTTTCCATGATCCAGCATAGATTTGTAATATGTTCACAAGTGCCACGACCCCTTCTGAAGCCAGCCTGAACATCTGGTAATTCCTTTTTGATGGTTGGGCCAGATGTTGTTGTATGACCTTAATGAGAATCTTGCTAGTGTGAGGGACAATCCTTGAAGTTACCCTCTCTGGCAATGGAATTAATACTGATTGTTTCTAATCCTGTGGCCATGTGTTTGCTTCTCCAATTTTCTGGCGCAAGGGTAGTGCAGGCCTCCAATTTGGCAGGGATACTATCAACAGCTGGGGCCATCCTTGGCAATTGACTTCTTCCTGAGAAAAATGGCCTGTTCTATTACTGCTTCTGCTTCCTCTTTGTTGCCGGCATACAGCTTTTCTGTATATTCTTGCCATTCATTATTGACACTTTATTGGTCAAAGAGTTCTTTCCAGGGGTGGGATTCAATTTTTTTAACAACCGGTTCTGTGGGCATGGCTTAGGTGGTGGGCATGGCTTGGTGGTCATGTTATTGGCTGGGTGTGGCCAACTCAATATTACTCACATCGAGGCACGCATCTCCTCGCCTGGCCTCTCATGACTGTGGGGTTGCTGCAACAATTGTAAGTGTGAAAAATGGTCATAAGTCACTTTTTTCAGTGCATTGTAACTTTGAATGGTCCCTCCACACAAGCAAAGTACCAGCAAAGAAGGGGGGGAAAACTCCAGAGAAGTTCCAGAGACAGGAAGTCTAGTCCTGCCAAGAATGTAATAAGGGTTAACGGAGAGGCAGTTTCTGTAAGCAACACCAGAATGTTTCCTTCCTGCCTTCCTTACAGGATTAGGCCAGTAATTTCTTCTAACAACCGGTTCTCCGAACTGCTTAGAATGTTAACAACGAGTTCTAGCGAATAGGTGCGAACCTGTGGAATCCCACCCCTGGTTCTTTCCCTTGCTTGTTTCTGATGCTTTTAGGAGCAGTAGGTAGTTAAAAAAATGTTGAGAAAAGCAGCAAATATCCTGGAGAAAGGGTACCATTGCCACCTAGTGGCAATGATTGGCAAGTGATTGCCAAGAAATTTATTGGAGCGAGTCATACAGCAAAGACCCAGCAAGTTGGACACTTAGGAAACATCCCTAATCTTTGTATTTCATTATTTTAGAGTAGAATTTACTATTGTATCTGCTGAACATTTTAGGGCCATTCAGGAGATCTTAGTTGACAAGAATGTACTTAGATCCAAGTAAACAATGCATGAATACTGCTGGTATGCCACAGGAGATTCCAGGTGGGCATCTCTTGTTTTTAAACCTCCAAATTTCTCCCTGATCCCAGAATAGCTATTGTTTGCTTTGAGAGGAAAATTTGTACTGGGCCTGTTAAATAGTTAAATTGCTTCCTTTCAGCCTGTTGTGAAACCAAAAGGTTTTTTCAGTCAAGTGCTGTGTTTATCACTCAGTTCACATTTTGTCCTGGGCTATAGCTTATTTAACTGTGATTTATTAAAGAAATGTCATGGGCTGGCTTCATACAACATAGTGAGCCATAACCACTATCTCCTATCAGGCATTCAAGGTAGGAAAAAAGAGTCTAAAAGAACAGCCGGAATTCTTAACTGAGACAGTCCCACAGTAGATTAGAGTTTGGCTGAAATTGCAGAAATTGGAAAGGTGAGCATTTTAGTCAGAGAAAAAAAAAATATAAAACACTTTAAAAAAAAAAAGACTGGGAACTTCATATAGACTTTTTGTTGAAAGGAGAAAAGATTGAATTGATGATTTCTGAGTTTGGGGATTAAAAAGAGCCATAGAGGAAGAGGAAAGAATACGATAGAAATTATTCAATAGAAGGAAGGGTGAGGGGGAATAATTTTATGTTTTCTTCTCTTCTAATTTTCCTTTTTTCTACATTCTTTTGTTTCTTAATCTTTTTGTTTTGGATGCTTTTATTGTTTGAAAAATTCTAATAAAATTATATATATTGCCTTCATTTCCCGGGCTTAAAATATGTTTTCATAAATGTCACTGCATAATTTCCCCAAAATCATCTTTGTGGCTTTCTATATTTACAAACCATAACGGGATTCACGTAATTCTGTAAGTCAAAACCAAACAACATGAAGGCTTTATGATGAGAAGGTGAGAAGGCGCTATCTACAGCTGGAATAGCACAAAATTGACCTTGGCTAATCTCAGAAAGGCAAACATCATTGGACCTTGTTAATCTATGGGTAATTGGCATTAGACAACTGTTACAATAAAAAATAAAGTATCAAGATAGAAGACTACCAGAACGTCACCCAGCAATTGTAAATGATTTCTGTGCCCATAAAGTGATCAGCTAAACTTAACTCAAAGGAGGTTATATTGCAAATTATAATTCTTTTTATGTGTTTTGTGTGTGTGTGCCCATGCATGCACATCTTTGAATCAGTTTTGATTCTGCAAATTTCTTGGCAAGGTTTTTCAGAAGTGATTTGCCATTGCCTCCTTCCCACGGCTAAGAGAGAATGACTGGCCAAGGTCACCCAACTGGCTTCATATCTAAGGCACGGTTAGAGCTCACAGTTCCTAGCCTGGTGCCTTATAATGTCCTTGGTGTAAAAAAGCAGGGAAGGGGGGTGTAATGGAGTTTCCCAAAAATTCAATATTCAGCTCATTTCTCAGCCTTTTCTAATCAATAATTGTGGGAGAGAGGGAGGGTGGGAAGCATCAGTCTCTCTCTCTCTCCACCCCCTCCCTCTCTCCCTCTCTCTCCCTCCCTCTCCCCCTCCCTCTCTCCCTCCCTCCCTCTCCCTCTCTCTCCCTCTCCCTCTCC